AAATCTCAAAAGGAGTATTCAAGTGGTATATAACTAAGGTCTTTATATATGAATAACATCAACAAGTGCTCTCCCACAAGATGCGGACGTGGGGTGTTATAAGTTGCAATGATAACAGCTAATTAGGTTCTCTATATGAGTGCAAGTTTCTAAAGCTTCATTCATAATTCAAACCAACCAAGAGAACATGACTAGGGATGAGAGATTCACTAAATCCCAACGCACTTTGATACCATATATACTCAACTGCTCTGAAACTTTTACTCCCAGCAGGTAGCAGATGTTTGATACTAAGATTGCAAGTGATCGGCACTATCATCCCCTTAAGAAAGTGAAACCAAGCACCAATAATCAAGTGAAAGATAGCAGAGAGCAACAACCCAATTCCACATAATGCTCCCTGGCTCTCAATCTAATCGTGCTCCTTGATAGGTTAGAAGTCTAAAATTCACGTAGAAAGCCTACATACTGGACACAAAGACCTAGCAACCTGTGTATTCCAAGTATACTCAATTTTGGTCAAAACAGTCATTTTGGCGAGAACCATAAGTCAAGGACCAGATTCTTGGGCTTCAGCTTGACTGACCTTGTTATCTAAAATTTGGCACGCGACCAGCTCATCGTTATTTAACCATGCTGAGGTATCCAAAAAGGACTATTTTGTTTGCACCAACTTAATGTAACATTCCATTTCAACCCTATGTCTTGCTTCCATAAGGCAAGAGAGCCAGCTAAACAACCTTCTGACATCATATCACATAACCTATCTTGTTTCTGGCCAACAATCCACGAATTCACAGGCCAGAAACAGGGAAATCTGCTCAGGTGCCCATCGACTTAGAGGCAGATCTCCTCGACCTTAAAATCAGTCCACCTAACCAAGAGCCACAGAATACTTAATTCACCTAAAGAACAAGCGATTGGAAAGCCAGTCATCCTGAGTAAAATCGAAGAAGACTTAAATTCCAACAGCCCATACACAAACGACCGCACGAAAGGGGAAGTTCATTTACTCAACCGATAAGTGAACCTAAAGCGCGCGCGCACAACGAATTCGATTATTTTTCAAAGGAAGCCAAACCTAAAAGCAGCAAGACCAAATCCCCAGAACCCCTAATTCAAGCTGCTAACCAGCTACAAAAGCGAGCTTCAGCAGTCAAGAAAGTCGAACGCCCCAACCGGAGCTCGCCTCCGCCAAGATCTACATCCCTCGACGGCCGCGGACGCCCAGACGCGCGCGGAGGAATCGAACGGAGAGAGTAGAAGCGAGGGGGAAGGAGGGGGAGGGACCGGACCTGAGAGGCGGCGGCGTGGGAGACGAACTGCTCGAGCTTGAGAGTGAGCTGGTGCCAGAGCTTCTTCTGGTACAGATCCTCCAGCGCATTGTACCACTCCGCCAGCTCTGGATAAGCGCTCCGCTGCGATTCCAAGTACTGCAGCGCCGCCATGGCCGCCGGAAGAGAGAGCGAATTTGGAGCGAGCGAGGGAGAGAGAGAGAGAGAGTTTCGGGCTGCTTCGGGTGGGTCGCGGAGAGAAAAATCTGAAGCAAAACCTCTCTGCGTTCCGTCTTTTGCCTTTTCGTCTTCTCCGCTCTTTTATTCTCGACGAGAAGAACGATGAGGATCCGAGTACATGCGGGTCGGGCTTTTCCTCTCCCGTTTGTTGTCGTTTCGGGTCGGGTCCATCGGAAGAGGTCCAATTAGGGAGCACATGGCAACGATTCTGTGCCCGAAAACTGATTTTTTTCAGAAATTATTCTTTTTTAATCTATGCCCGAGAACTGATTCTGAGCATTTGAAAGCGTTTGGTAACGGCCCAAAATTTCCATTCCTGAAATAGAAAAAGAATAGAAATGCGTTTGGTAACGGCACAAAATTTATTTTTATTAATAATATTTTTAAATATTTAAATATTTCTTTCTTTCTTTTTTTCTTTTTTTTCTTCTCCTCCTTCTTGGCCATGGCCTGGCCAACAATCGGCCACAAGCTAGGGCCGGCGAGGGCGTCGCGACCCTTGCCGGCCATAGGCGAGGGCGAGGGCTGGACCCTCGCGGCCTGGGCGAAGGCCGCCCTTGCCCATGTTTTCGGTCGCCGGTCGCCAATCGCCGATGACCGGTGGCCGGCCAGGCAAAAAGAACTGAAGAAGGAAAAAAACATTTATTTTCCAATGCTAATTTCTTGTTTCCATAATCAATAAGCTATTTTTTTTTTACTTCTTGATTCTGTTCCAAAATTGATTTTGGGAATAATTTTTTGCAAATTTGTGCCCGGGAACAAAAAGTTTACCAAACGGATTTCTATTCCAAAACTGATTCTGGGAACAAAAAAACAGAAATTTTCACTGTTTTGCAACTTGCCAAACGGGCCCTCAAAACTCTCTCGATGTCTTCTCTAGGAGTCTAGGTTCTTCTTATTTGCATTTGCATGCCCAAGGTTGTAGAGGAAGAAAAAGCGATTTGGAAAAATTGCGATTTTGTTTGTTTTGTGCGACAGTGAATAGTCGTCATCTTATCTTTATTTCTAGTCGTCCCCACATTTACCATCGCATCGCCAATGAATTAGTATGGCATTTTGGTATCACAAACCGCGGTTGCCGACGAATATTGTCTAGCACATGTGGTAGTCAAACTTTCCTTTCTCTAAAAGGGCCAATAGGAGAGAAGAAGGCAAATGCAGGAGCACCGGTGGCCCCCGAGGCCCGCTGACAAGAGTGGCATGACTTCCACTTATGGTCGGTGAGGATCGTTGTAGAGAACACGTCGCTCATTGCACATGAATCTCACATGAGCACGTCATTTTTCATAACCATTCTCAACAAGGAGTTCAGAGTTATCGGATTCAATTTCTCGCTCATCATTCACCCCGGATTTCCTTGTATATCGTCGTCGACGCACGGCATAACAAGGGTCGCGAGGAATCCTTACCTAGATTGACCGACTAGTTCGTTGGATGAGTCTTGAGCAAGCGCATGCATGCATACCGAATTGCACTCCACGTGCACATTGGCATGGACTCCGACTTGCCAGACAAATCTGGCTTTCTTTATGCGGGCCTGTGTATGCCTGACTGGATCGAAGTGGGAAAGCAGGCCCAAGTAGGAGTTTACTTGCCCAGCCCCGCTCAGGTTGTGTTTCGTGTCCGATGCAATTGGATGGACTCGACAGACTTATTCTTCTAAATTTCCAAGTATAGACATATTACGTACTCTGACAATGCGGTCATGATACGACACGATACGATACAGTTGCCGCGAGAAAATAACTTAGTTTTGATATGAAATTAGCGGCTTCCGTTGTAGTTTTTTTATGCAAAACAAAAAATACTTGCTCGATCTAGACACCGAATTAGCAAAGCTGATGCGCATCAACCCTATTGATATGAAAACTGTCTCAATTCACTTAATACAGTCTAATAATTATTTAGAGTTTGAATTCAAAAGGTGTATACATGTATCGAAAAGTAGTCGTGAGATTCTTAGTCATATTTATTTATGTGTTCTCTTCTGTATGTATCTCCAAGCATATAATGTTAAGAGGCATTGGAATTTGACCTGGGAAGCAGGTTACACTATGTATATTTGATAACTGATCTGTCAACTGTAAATTCACATGTCGAGCCACTCAATTATAGAGTCAATTAGTGCTAATTAAACTCAAGTTTTGCTGGCCAGATTCTGCTCGTAGAATCATGAATGATATAGGCAACATCCAACCAACCATCACCCACCAAAAACCATAATAACTCGTCCCTCTTTTTAGGAAAATGGAGTGGGAGGCGAAATGATTCTCACGTGAATTCCAAGCAAAGGGAAGTCATCATCTTCTGAAACAAAAAACGCTCTTTATTTAAGCCCACCATCTCTCACGTTACCATCACCCCTCACCACAGGTAGCCCCCAAGAAAAAAGCAGAAATGGTGCAGTTTAGTGTCATCCTCACTTTCCTCCTCATCTTCATCGCCTCCATATCCTCTCTTCCGGCAACAATTGCAGGGAAAGAACAAGCGGAGACGCCTCGCGGGATGTGGCAAAAGCAGCCGTGGATGAACCATGGGAGTGACCGCGGCCCTCGGAAGCATCTGGTCGACCCAACCGCCTACCGTCCGTTTCAAGTTCCCAAGTTGCCCGTATAGACCACTTTGCTGGGAATTTTTTATCGGGGGACTTGTTTTCAGTTTCATTATGCATCTTTTCTTTTTCCCAAGAATGTTTCCTTGGAGTCTCCCGTGTCAATCAAGGTTCTCCTATTGTAAATGATCAGTTTCCGGGAAGCCTAGGAACTTGTGGGAGTGTTCTTGCTTGCTTGTCCTGATTGTCCTAACTATGCAGTAAATGTACTTTCGCAATATGATGACGGCAGGCTCTCGACTTAAAAGTTTATTGGCGGGGTGTCTGTTTAAATGTCAATATGGACTGGGCGATATGCAATTAGATATCCCATTAGCGTCCGGGAATTCACCAATGTACACGGCATTACGACAGTTCCATGCAAAGCACAAGTTGAACCTGGAAACTTATTGCCAAAATCAAGCACCTTAATGAACATAGAATAGCTGCCTGTATCATCAATTGGGCGAGCGATGCAGAGTTAGGGAAAGGAGAGAGGATCGCTTGTTACTAGAGGAAAGAGGGAGAGAAAGAGAGAGGAACTTTACTTGGACAACACTTGTCGATGACTCGTTTGAGAGTGTTTGCCTACGAGAGAGACGAAGCACATTTGCTCTTTTATAGCATAAGGTTCTGAAGTTCTCCAGGGAATGGGAGCAACTTTCCAGGTTTGAGTGTCCTTACACGACAGAAAAGGCAGGATAACAACATTGGAGGGCAAGTATTTATCCAAATCCAGCCAAAGTAAGGCAAATGGTTCAGTGCTTCATAGGAGATGAATCAAAAAGCTGGACGAGAATCTAATCTCGGACTTGTGACAATATAAACTCCAATCGTCAAGTCGTACTCGTAGACATACTGCGAAAATGAAAACAATGAATATACCAAAGTCAATATGCAGAAACTGAAACTTTTATATCTTGTGATGATATAGATGTGTAAACCATTTCTTTCAATCGACTCATCTGCGGATACATATATATTCACGAACCAATACGAAATTAAGGGTACAAACAGGAAAGGAGGCGAGTGAGGAACAGGTATTCAAAATGTGGATTTCAATTTCTCGAGTGACTGGCAAGATGAGAATCACGAGAAGTTATCACATCCCCGGGGCATTACATTCTTCTAGTAACTTTAGAAGATTATGTTCCGGGGCGCTTATCGAGGGCAAAATCGTGCGATTGGAGGTGGCTGGTCTTTGTCTTGTCCCAGCAGTAGATTCAGATTCAATAGACCCACTTTCTTTCATGATGGGAAGGTCAGTTCTTCTCCACACGGTCGCAGATACTCGTTCTTTCCAAATCCTTCCGTCCTGATGATTGAAGAACTAAATGTCAGATACAGTGCAGATAAATTCTTACAAGAGATAACTGCTGATGCCAAAAGATGAAACTACAATCAAATTCAAACCCAAAAATTGCAAACATGTCCATGCATGCAGCTGTTACTGTGATGGAAATGTGCAGAAATGTGTAGTTGCTTTCCTGTTCTCGAGCAACAACTGTGCCAGCTCAATAACTCAATATCAGTTGTCACTATCAGAAGCAACTCCAAGATGCAAGGAATATAATATAAGATTCTCTTTTTTTTTTTCTTGCCCACTTTGCATTCATGAGTTCATGCTAAAAAACGAAGCTGAAGAGAATATTTTTCAGTTTCAAAGTTTATTTAAAGGTCTATGAGACTCTACATATTTTGCTGATTAACTTATTCCATTTCGTTGTATTTTATCCAGCATGACAAGCACCAGATAGCTATTCCACATAACTAGATTAGGCCGACAGCCATCTAATCACCAAGCGTTTGTGCTATATCAAAAAATTAATACACTTCATATTAGCGGGTAACAAAAAGCACACATATCACACAAAACTTTATCAGCCATTACTGCGAATAAAAATAATGCCTGTCAAAAAAATGAAATACCCTATACAATTATAAATATCTTGAGGCAAAATCAACAAGTACTTTCAGGCCAAACTGACAGAACAAGACCCATTATCTGAGGTTTGACAAAGTCATATGATGATGCACCAGCTTCCCTAATGAGGATTCTTCAATCATCGAGCAACTGAAGGATTTGATTTTGGGCTCTAGTGTGAAGCTTAAGGGGTTCGCATTTTAAGCACAATCAAGACAGACTGATTAGATGCACAGGTCCACTGCTGATTTTCAACTAGGCTACAATCAAACTATGGAATTGAAAACTTAAGTTCTGCCGACAATTCTGTCCTGAATATGGCAGTACTAATAAGTCTCTCTTTGAGATGTATAAAGAGCTTAACTGGGGAAGACATGCCACCTTGTTTGTTATGTAAATTATTATATCATTAACTGTAACGACAACCCTCAACACTTAGTGGGAAAATAAAAGGATGACTCCAAATTTCTAATGCCCTCTTTAAGTGTTGACCAATCACAGCACCTTGACTCTTCCAATAATCAACGGTGCCAACAGAATTAGCAAAGCTGATTGCCAAGACTGATTCTCCAACTTTGGATAACTGTCACGGTGTAAGAGCTGAAGCAATCCCACCGACATCCACCATAGCACTAAGTACACGTAGGGAATTTGTTGCTTGACACCCAACTTCGAGCATTATTCAACGAATGGTTAGGTAATAAAACAACTCCAATTTTTCATCTCTTTACTTACTTCGAGCACTATTCAGTGAATGGTTAGGTAATGAATCAATTCCAATTTTCCATCTCTTTACTTAGTTCCTACTCTTTTGGATGCTAATCCATACCCCATTTGTATTGACATCTGAGTCACCCACCCACCCACCCTTCCTCCATACCTCCCTCCCTCCCTCCCTCCCTAAAAGCCTAGTACCTGCATCTAGATAGGGCAAATTTCTGGAGTATAGAATACGTTCCCTGTGAAAAACTTCAACAGCTTCAATAAATTTAATACATGGGCACACATACTGTTCTGGTCATCATTCTCTTCACTATTTAGTCATTACTTGCATACAGCAGAATGTGAACCCGGCAAACAGGAGTATTTATGTATGCTTCTCCTTCTTCTGTGGCTATAATTCATATGAAAGTGAAACAAGTATAGCTCAGAGAGACGAAAAAACTATAGGGGGACAATGAACCATAAGCAGGTGGTATCGACACAGAAAAAAAACTGTAATTTAGCAAACTAATCCAAAATTATATTGATATGGTGAGGACAATGGATGTCAGCAGAAAGCAGACAATAAAATGAAGGAAAGAGAATAATCTCACATTTAGAATTGAAGGTTCAGGCAGAGGGCACTGAATTGGTTGGTCATTATTAAGAGGCTCGATTGGATGTTCGACAGGCTTAAACTCTATGGCCACTTCAATTCCATGAGAAGCAGCAGCTGCGGCAGTGGCAGCGCTAGCAACCTCTGCATTTGGAGGCCCTACTTCCCTCCCATCCTGCACATAAGAAGCTCACTACTAAGCAAATTGGCGGAGTGAAGAACTAATAACACAAAATTGTGAACAGGATCATGAGTTGTATCACACAAAAATCATACATGTATCTTCAGATGAGAAGCAAAAGACGAAGTATAATGATGCTTTATCCAATCGTGCGTAAGGAAGGCAAAGTTTTTTTGTGATGACTGACTACAGCAGGACTAATTTTAGTGAGATTGATATAAATCTAAACACAATCAAAACCGATGAACAGTAACTGGAAAATTGAAGACCTGAAACTTGAAACATACAGATTATCTGAGGACATGTATAACCTATGGACACATTCGGATGCAGTGCAAACAGTATAATCTATGAACACAGTAGGATGCAGTACAGACAGGGCACTTCCCTCATTGAACAACAATTTTGATGATAAATTCGAACATCAAGCCAGGTGAACGACCACATTGAAAGTTTGAAAGCGGGCTACAACCCCTCAAAATCAGGCATTTCACAGAGAAAACACAACATAAACCAGTCAACTTCCTCGTGAGAATCGATCCAACATGTCAAGACCGAGCAAGGGTGAAGACTCGAGTATATCAGGACACCCTGAGACCAGATCAACCCAATTCATAAAGAAAAGAGAAAAAAACTGAATCAATCGAACAGGTCAACGAATGTCCCCAGGAACACATCGAACGTAGCATATCTGAACTGCTAATTTTCAAACCTAGGGCCGACAGAGAATCAGAAGAAACAGCAATTCACTGAAGGAAGGGACTTTATAAGGAAAACCAAGAATGGCATACTTAGAGAAAGAGAAAGAGAAGGGTTGCTCACCAGAGCACTTTGAGCTCGTCGATGGCCACTTCTGTGCACAGAGAACTTCGAGAAAAGACCCACCATTTTCTTTGACTTTTTTTTTGCAGCCAAGGGACTGTCCTATCAATCACTAACTAGAAATCACTGGGAAAAAAAAGGTTGTCTTGATCAATCTTGTCTTGGTTTGTCCTAAACGTTTCCCATGCTCTCTCTCTTTCTCTCTCTCTCTCGAAACGAAACGAAACGAAACGAAACGAAAAAAAAAAAAAAAAAAGAACTTCGAATTGAGCCCAGAGAGAGTCGACCTCAATAAATATCAAAGATCAAACACAAGAAGCTGCTTCTCTCTGTCTATTTCTTCGAGAGGAAAGAAAGAGGAGGGCCAAGAACATGTGGGGGAGGCTATTGGTTGGTTCAGCTTTGCTTTGCTTTGCTTTGCTTGGCATGGTGGGTGTTCTTTTGTTCTTGTTGTGTTGGGTGGACACTCTGTGTCCGGACAGGGTATCCTGAGAGCAAATTTTCATTTTTCTATTAAGTGATAGCGATGATATCATAATTTTACCATATTTTAATCCGTCGGTGTGCTTTAAAATTATTATCATGATGATTCTTGTTACTTTAATTTGGAATAGCGATGATAATGGTGATTTAATTTTATTTTTGACAGTAAAATGAAGAGGTGGGAATGGCACTAAAGAAGATGAGGTCGGTTCAGAGAGAATTCATGAAAGATGAGGCATTTGAGTAGAGGTGATTGGTTCCCGGATTGGGCCGGTTCCGCCCTGGACTGGTCAGTTCTGATCTAGTTATCGGGTTGGTCCGGTTTTCAAGTGAGACTGATCCGGTTTAGGGTATTGACAATTCCTTCTCTTTACTCTTTAAAGGAAACGGAAAACTTAAAATATACATATTGGTCTAGTTGGTCCGAACAAATCGATTCTGCACTTGAAACTGAGAACAATCCAGAACCGATTGATTCGGTCCTATCCGATCCGGTTCTCAGGTCGGTCCAGTTCCAGCAAAAAGCAATTCAAGGCTTTACCCAATTTGCCAAGTGGCTGTGAGGCAAGAGATAATTATGAGGAGTAATTCACATGGATCCACCATCTTTACAGGTCCAGATTCTAAGAGATTAAGGACTGAGACTTGGGAAAACATCGATGTCATGTCCCCCAAGTGCAAGTAATGCTGCATGTTCATGTGGGCCTATACCGGGCGCTATTTTCCTTGTCTCGCTCTTTTTTTTTTTATGGGTAAGTTATGTTCTCATTCAATAACAACAAAGGGCGAGTTGACCAATCTCCCTCACAAGGCTCAAAACAAGTATTTGCTAAATCAAAGAACTAGGCTACAAACAACCAAGTCATCACAGCATAAAAAACATTTCAGAAATGAATGTGCCAATTAGAACATAATAGAGCCCAAGAAGGAGAGATTATTCTGTGCTTGAGTTCACTTCGACCTTCAATGCTAAATTTCACAGCAAACAGGATCATGATAATCACTTGATTCACAGGAGGCGCAGATATGTCCATTGCGCAATATGGTCGATGCTTCACAAAATCAATATTTTTCAAAAGATGGTCAATACCTATTTTGGCCATTTTTATGTCCCAACACATCCGAGGCCAAAAGTTCGTCTCTGCAGCTTGTTAACAATATTAGCAGAATGATCTCGCATTAGTCTTTTAAAGGTTCAATTTTTAATGTTTAAAAAACAACTCATTACTACGTGCTGTACTTCCAAAAAAGAAGAAAGGTAAAATTTCAGTCAAATAACAATAAGTTAAACTAGCGACGAGTATCGCCGGGATTGCATTCAGGTCGATAAGAATAGTTGGTCAGCTTGCTTCCTCCATAAAAAATGATCATCATGTATGAGAAAAGACAGTTCTGTATTTTATAATCAGGACCGATTCATCTCCACCTCAATGAAAGCGAGTTGTTTCTTTGTCGTTGTCTTCTGAGAAATCACTAAGAAACCCCATGCTATTTCTTATCGTGATCTTATCTTCGATCGGTACTTTATTCATTGTATACGTAAGCCACTGCAGCGTAAATCATTATGATCGTTTTCAATCAGCTTCTTCCTCACGAAATAGGGTGATTTATCAAATGGCATGCCAGGCTAATTTTGCGTCACGGACGAACTTTGCGGCAAAGGCAAGAGCGAATCGAAATTCTCAAGAAACTTGGAAAAAGTAAGCAGCTGAAGTGTAACAAGTAAATTGATGAAGAGCTTGTCTATCTATACTAATACTAGTATCTAATGGGAGAACATAAGTAGGTGTCGCACCCTAAAGTTTCCATGCTTCGCTTTTAAATGCAGATACCTACAGCTTTTCATTTTCTATCTTGCGAAAATTAAATCTGAATTATGATCATACACTATCGACAAAATTGTTTTCTCAATTTCACCACACATGCTGCGTGCATCATCTAGTTTTGCATAAAGAAAGATTAGGGTTTAGTTGAAATGTTTCTTCATCCTTCGTTGTTGTGATTAGCTGATTAACCTCATTCTTGCAACACTGAAAAAATATTGTTCTACTTGGCATGTCCGTGAAAGATTAAAAGCAGATGGTCTTTTATACTCTGATAAGTTCGGTAGCTCTTAAGAGTGACAGTTAACTCCTTTTGTTTTGTTTTTCTGCAATAAGAATGGGTCATATGTTTCCCTCCATGCCTCTGATGGGTGAGTTACAAACGTGGACATCATCCACTTTAATGGAGGAAACTATAGCCCTAATAAGATGGGTTTGATGGGCCATAATGGTTGTAGAAATCGATCTGACAGATAACTTTTCTAAAACACGGTTGACCAATGTCAATATAGTGCAAAAATTAATGTCCCGAATGATGAATAAGGTCGAGTTTGATACTCTCTTCCTAAATGGGAAAGATTGGTACATTTCTGTGTGTTCTGACCAAAAGAAAAGGAACACCATCTTTGTGTTGTGCATGCTCTTGCCATCTAACTCAGAATCCAATTGATGTTATCGTAATTTTCAGTGTTAGCTTTATCATATTCTCTGGGATGCAATTATATTGGCCACTATATTCTCCAGCAATGACACTCCGACCATACGCCAGACGGATTAGAGAGTGTTGTGCCCCTGGTTTGCCCAGTAAGAATTGTGGTTTTATGTAGGATTTGAGAGTGACGAAACTCAAAACGGAGCTCTCAATGTGAACGCTGGCTAAAATGCAGAGTTAAGAAAAACTCAAATTTATTTGGATTGGACCTACAAAGTACGAACTAAATAAGAGATTAACTTAAATATTGCGATAGACACTTCGACCGACTTTTCAAGATGGAAAAAAATGTTTTTCCGCCAGAATCAGTGAGGGAAGAAACCAAATCTGATTGGTACTATTAGTTCCATTGAAAACCTCACTCAAACCAACTTCAGGGATGGGCCTTTTATGCGCCAAGCACGACAAAGATTGAATCATAACTTTCTGAACCAGTGAAAAGTGTCAACTGAGAAATCACCATATTTTGAATAGGCGAATCCACAGGAATGGCATACTTTCTACTGGGAAAGATTCTCGAGGTTCTCGGGATCGGGAATGAGTTGCAACTGTTGGTGGGACATTGGCGAATAGTAGACAGCGTGAGAGTAGTGCATGGCCACACCAGAGTCTTCCTAAAGGAGGTAGACCCACTCGGAGAGTGTGAGGACGAAGCCAAAGAATTGATCAAGCAAATCCGGGACCTCTCATACAACACCGAAAACCATCTTGATGAGTATGAGCTGTTGTCGATGCATGATCAGGGAGGTGGGCTCCGTGGTTTTCTCCAGTGTAAGATGCCTCAATATGTAAAAACTCCGAAGGCTTGTCGAAGGGTCATGCACCGAATGAAAGATATTTTCACCAGAGTGAGAGGCATTAGGGATGGACGCAAGATGCTGCAACTCCAATTGAACAGGACCCCAGAACAAGGTCGAAGCTCTGCGTCCACATCAAACGCATGGCAAGATCACCGAGGAGACGCCCTTCTGTTAGCACAGAAGGATCTGGTTGGCATTGAAAAGCCCAAGAAGCAGCTTATTGAATGAATGATTGAGGGTCGACCTGGCCGACAAATAATTTCAGTCGTCGGGATGGGAGGGTTGGGGAAGACGACCCTAATTAAGCAAGCCTGTGAAGATCCATTGGTGAAGAAGCACTTTGCCACACGCGCATGGGTCACTCTCTCTCCATCTTCAGAGACTGAAGGACTCCTCAGGGACATGCTTCAACAAATCACAGGTGGGCGAAGGAAACCTGTGCCTGAAGGGAGAAGGATACCTGTGCCTGAAGGGCTGGATGCCTCAGAACCGTGACTTGCTCAAGACGGTGATCAAGAACATGCTCCAGGAAGGTAGAACGAGGTACCTGATCGTCCTTGATGATGTGTGGCACTTGGACGGATGGGACGATGTGAAATATGTGCTGCCTAATGATGAACAGGATAGCCGCATAATTCTCACCACCCGCAAAACAGATTTAGCGTTGAATGCCTGTACAGAATTTGCCGGAGAGGTCTACAACATGGAACCCTTGAGCGAAAAACAATCGTGGGAGCTCTTCTGCATGAAGACGTTTAAGGATAACTCTTGTCCTCTCAATCTGGAGAAGATTTGTAGGAGCATCTTACAGAAATGCGAGGGACTGCCCCTTGCTATTGTGGCGGTCAGTGGCATTCTGGCTACAAAGGGCCAAGGCAGGATAGATGAATGGCACAAGGTATGCCGTAGTCTTCATGGTAATAGTGGATTGAACTGTAAGAATTTCCTAATGTGGGCTTCATTAATTGAAATTAACTGGTTTGGTGTAATAAAGGTAAGATATATGGGTTAACTAAGTCAATATAGGCTGTTTGGTGTGGGGTAGTCTGGCTAAGATTCAACGATTAAATGCCTCACTACCTCAAATCTTGATGCGATTTGACTTACGGATCAGAGAGAAATTTCTTCTCGTGAGTGGCAATCTCATTAGGCCAGTGTTCTAACGAAGGGTATAGGGGAGAAGATCTTGAGTTCGTGTTCGGAAACCGTCGCCAATTCCGCGTCAAGTCCGATGGATTCCAAACCAGGTACGCGAACCGACAATTTCTCCATTATCGTGTTTCGGTTTCTGATTATGGTGATCCTGGGCGTGCCATTTTCGTGGCCAACATGTGGTATCAGAGCCTGCCATAGATTAGAACTGAAACATGCGGATTAGGACCGTTTTCGTTTTGTCCGAGAGGTTTTTGCCCAGTTTCGAAATTTTTTGTCGGATAAAAGTTAAATTTTATTACATATTTGGAATCTACTCGTCGAGACGAGAAAAATGGTGGGCGGAACGTCGTCGGAGGAGGCCGGACGCGCCGTCACGCGCCTTCACGCGCTCTAGGCGCGGCGGCGCGTGCCGGACACGCGCGTCCGTGCCAACCGGCGCGTCTTTCCGCCGCAAACCGCATGCTGAC